GCGGATGACTATGTATCCACTGATCTCTATAATAAATATAATTATTATAGAGATCAGTGGTCGTATCTTGTTAGGAATACGTCTAAGCTTTCCAATCGCGTCCGGAAGTTTGGACGTATCTTTAACTTTTCTTGTTAGGAATACGTCTAATACGTACCCGTAGCCACTGCGAAAAAATGAATTTTACGTTGGGGAGAAATACTCCCGACGGAAACATTAGCCCGTATTTTGACCTGCATAACATTTGTCGCATGTCGCTACGTCGTGAATAATAAAGTTCTGAAGTTCCTGGTGTTATAAAAGTAAATAAACTTATTGTAAAATTAAACAAAGATATGTTTAACAAGCTTAGTGTCAAGTTATCATCTGTTAATGCTACAGAAATAAATCCTAATAAAGGTAGGGTTTTTAGTTTTTTGAGTTCTTATGTTATATCGATGGAGAGCTCTCTTTGAATAAAAACTTAGGAGAGAATATTTACTTTTAATGAGACTTACTCTCTCTAGAGAGAGTAAGTCTCATTAAAAGTAAATGTTATGTTATATCGATAGAGAGCTCTCTTTGAAAAAAAACTTAAGAGAGAATATTTACTTTTAATAAGACTTACTCTCTCTAGAGAGAGTAAGTCTCATTAAAAGTAAATATTCTCTCTTAAGTTTTTTTTTTTTCATATGAGAGTAATTCTCGCCTTTTCAAAATTAAATAATCAAAAAGAATAACTTTATTGATAAAGTGAACCTAATTTGCGGTGGTCTGTGGTGAGAGTAATTCTCCCCTTTTTAAAGTTTTTATTGTAAGAGTAAGTTTTAATTTGTTCAATTGACAAAATAGACAACTTTTAACATAACATTTACTTTTAATGAGACTTACTCTCTCTAGAGAGAGTAAGTCTCATTAAAAGTAAATGTTATGTTATATCGATAGAGAGCTCTCTTGGAAAAAAAACTTAAGAGAGAATATTTACTTTTAATAAGACTTACTCTCTCTAGAGAGAGTAAGTCTCATTAAAAGAATAAATCTCCTCTCTTAAGTTTTTTTTTTTCATATGAGAGTAATTCTCCCCTTTTCAAAATTAAATAATCAAAAAGAATAACTTTATTGATAAAGTGAATATATTTGGCGGTAGTCTGTGGTGAGAGTAATTCTCCCTATTTTGAAATTTTTGTTGTAAGAGTAAGTTTTACTCTTACAACAATTCAATTGACAAAATTGACAAAACTTGATCAAGTTTTATTTAAAAGAGTAAATCTCCTCTCTTAAGTTTTTTTTTTTCAGATGAGATTAATTCTTCCCTTTTCAAAATTAAGTTATCAAAAAGAATAATTTTATTGATAAAGTGAACCTATTTGGCGGTGTTCTGTGATGAGAGTAATTCTCCCCTTTTTAAAGTTTTTGTTGTAAGAATAATTTTTACTTTTTTCAAGTTTTTTTTAAGAGTAAATCTCCACTCTTAAGTTTTTTTTTCAAATGAAAGTAATTCTCCCCTTTTTTTTAAATTAAATAATCAAAAAGAATAATTTTATTGATAAAGTAAACCTATTTGGCAGTGTTCTGTGGTGAGAGTAATTCTCCCCTTTATAAAGTTTTTGTTGTAAGAATAAGTTTTACTTTTTTCAATTTTTAATTAAAAGAGTAAATCTCCTCTCTTATTTATAAGAATCTTCTTTTTTAAACTAGATAAGTTAGATTTTAAAGGAAATCAATTTACATCAGTTTTTTTTCAGCATTGTCATCAATCAATCCATCAACTAGTTTAACAGAAATTCAGTTAAAGAAACCGAGGTAAAATACCTAATTTATATCAATAAGTAACTAAAGTATATAAAGTCCTAACTAAAAGTTGTTGTTTTTAGTTTTATGTGTTCTGCTTGTATGATGTCATTTACAAGAAAAGATAACATGAAAAGACATGCATTACAGGCACATAAAACCATTTTTAGAGATAATCAATCCAAAGATAAAAGAACGCTATGTCATTATCAAAACTGCAGCCAAGTATTTTTTCAAAACGTCAAACTTATTAAACACATAGAGGAGTGTCATGAAGGTATATTTACCAAAGAATCTTACATTTTTTTATCAGAATCTGAATTTTTAGCATGGAAGGAAAAAGAGGAACTTAATAGTTATGTTTTTTTCAGTAAACAAACTAGTAGTTTTTTCACTGGAAAAAATATAAATAAAGATGTAAAAACAAGTTATTATATTTGTCAAAATGATGGTCATTCAAAACCGCATCGCTCTGTTAGTGAACCAGCAAGAAAAACTAATAAAAGGTACTACAGAGGGAGTGTTAAATCAGGTGCTTTCTGCCCTGCCAGGATGATTGTCAAAGTAAACATAAATGGTGTCACTAATGTTCAGTATATCAAAACTCATAACCACAGTATTGGTATTACAAATACCATGTATCAACCTATACCAGGTAATATTAAAAAAAACATTTCCGCTAAATTATCAATAGGTGTGCCTGTAAATACAGTTTATCGTGATCTTAGAGAAAGTTTTGGAGACAGACAAAATAGAAATGATGAAGATACTGTTTTAACTAAATCACACCTTCTTACAAAAAAAAACATTTCTGATATCAGCAGAGCAGTAAAAAAAGGATGTCGGCTTCACCCTGATGATAGCGTTTCAACTTTTTTACTTGTTCAAAAGTTGAAGTCTGAAGATTTTAATAGCATTCTCGTTTATAAGTCACAAGGACAGCAAACTGTTATTGGCCCAAAGGTGTATGATGACATTGACCTTAATAAGGATTCCTTTGTGGTTGGTATACAAACAAAGCATCAACTATCAATGTTTGAAACACATTCATCTCAAATTGTTTGTATTGATGCTACACATTGTACCAATCAGTATGCATTCCTCTTGTAACTTTACTAGTTCGAGATGAATTTAAAAGGGGTTATCCAGTAGCTTTTCTTATTTCCAATCATGCAGATGAACAAACTATTACACCATTTTTAGAGGAAATAAAAAGAAGATGCAATAATTCTGTAAAAGTTAATGCTGTTATGACAGATGATGATTTGTCAGGATGGAATGCTTTTACTAATGTTTTTGGAGATGTGCGCCACTTGCTATGCAAATGGCATAAAAAACGTGCATGGCGCAATAAACTTCCTTTAGTTGGTCCAACTAATTTACAACAAGAAGTTTATAGGATCTTAGAGACAATCATTGACGAAAAAAACCCTGATGTTTTTTTATCAACTATGAATGGTTTTGTAAAGGCATATGAACATAAATGTCCTTACTTCATTAGTTACTTTGTTACATACTAAGCTCCACGACTAATGGACTGGCGATAACAAGAAGTCCATCTAAAATGGACTTCTTGTTATCGCAACTTTCAACATGCAGACGCTGATACTAATATGTTATGTGAATTATTTCATAACAAATTGAAAACAGTTTATATGGAAAGACGACCTAATAAAAGGTTAGACGATTTAATTAATTTACTTTTAACAATCGAAGAAAATAGTTATTGGCACCATAAGAGACACTATTTATCTTGGAACAATATCTCTCCCAAAAAAGTATAAAAAAAGACATGAAAAAGGAATGTTGATTTTGATAAATGTATTAGTAAATGTTCATTAACTCAGTACACAGTTAAAAGTCAATCAAAAGATGTAACATACAATGTTGACATTCTAACTGAAGCTTGTAAGGAAAGTTTGTGTTTGGAGTCATGTATAAATCCAGCCTGTAATGGTTTGTGTGAGCATTTATATAGGTGTAGTTGTAATGACATTGTAATTCTTTACAAGCATGTTCATAAGTTACAATCATTTCTTCTGAGATCTCAAGAAAAAAACTGCCCAAAAGAATCTTTAGCTGTTGGTACAGGTAATAATCAAGTGAAGCAAAAATCTCAAACATTTATTAATGAGTCTGAAAGGTTTCAAAAAAATATTGATGAACTATCTACATTATTTTCTCATCTCATGAGAATAAATTTGCAACTTCCTTCAATAAACAGACAACTGGAAGACATGATTAGACAAGCTGAAGCCATCAAAAATATTAATTTAATTGAGATACCTACAGAGCCAACATCACACAATAACCTTTTAAATTTTGAACCAAATAAGAAGTTGGATAATCAATGGCAGCCTAATAAATTTAAGAGAACAAGAAAAGGAAATAGGAAAAAGGAAATAAAATCATATTCAATATCCTGCACAAAACCAAAAAGAGGAGATAGTTCTGAAATTGTCTCAGCAACATGTTGATCTAATTCATGATAAGCAAAATACAAGAGTATGCGATAACATTGAACCAAGTGATTTCACTAACACTCTCATTACGTAAGCTTTCTTAAATACATATTCAAATACTTGTTACTAATCAATTTATCTCCAAATATTTTAGCTTTTAAACAAGTTGTTTTATTCAAGTTAATTGGATGTAATGGATAATATATTACAGAGTAAATAAGAAAATAAACTATATTTCCTTCAGTATATTAGTTATATTTGTGTGTAAAATATAAATTATTTGCATATATGTGTGTGTTTGTATATATATATATATATATATACAAACACACACACACACACACACACACACACACACATATATATATATATATATATATATATATATATATATATATATATATATATATATATATATATATATATATATATATATGTATATATATATATATATTTATATATATATTTATATATTTATATATATATATATATATATATATATATATATATATATATATATATATATATATATATATATATATATATATATATATATATATCTATGTATGTATGTATTTAGGCATGGCGCTCACCAACTATCTTTTATTTCCCTTTTAACATTAGAAAACATTATACCATCTGACGTTTTGTTTAATTTAAAAAAAAGCACTCCAAGTTTTCAAAAAGGCTGGCTTCAAGATGAAGTAATAGGAGGTTTTCTGCATTGCTTAGAAAAAAGGTACCCTTTAATTAAATATTTAGGTCCAACTGAAGCATTAGCTTTCAGCTGTTCAAGAAGTTTAAGGCTTTTATGGAAAGATGTTGATACTAAAGTTATAGAACAAGTTTTTATTCATTTTAACCCAACTAATTCTCATTGGATTTTAATACATCTAAAAGTTATAACAAAAGAAGTAACTCTACTTGATCCACTCCATTGCAATATTATGCCAAATAATTTATCACACAATAAATCCATTGCTGTTGCTAAAGACCTTTTTAGACTAAAATTTAACATTTTAAACCCAACTGTTATTTCAGCCCCAAGTCATTGTTTACAGAAGGATAGTTACAACTGCGGTGTTTACGTATGCTATTATGCATTACATCTTTGTGAAGGTATCCCTATTTTTCAATAATATATTGTATAATATATATTCATATGTTAGTATTTTTTTTAGTTGTCAATTTTGCAACTACTTTTTTGTTATGTTGCTTATAATTAATTCATATATAAATTCTTTTATTTATTAACTATTTCATTTATTGCATAAAATTATTTAATGTTGTAATTGTCCAGTAAATTATAATTGTTAATTGCTTGCATTACTTATAATTTGCGACTATTCAAAAATGCATCATAACTTATGATGTATAAAAAAACCGTGTTATGATTCATAACACGATTTTTTATTTTCTGTATTTATATAAATTCATTTAAAATTGTGTTTTCAGAAAAAAATATTAATGATCCATTTAACGAAGTACAATTTTGTAAATATATTTACGAGACTTTATGCGGTAGGTGTTTAAAGAACCTTGAAAGTGGTTTTGAACGTTTTAGGAAATATTTTATTCTTATCCTTTATTATTTTGTTCGACGACAATGAATTAAATGAGATTCGGTTGGCGAAAAACAAATATATACCGTTGTTACATTTAGAAATTAGGAAATATAAAAAATATATGAAAAAGTCTATGAAATTTGAGATAGAGTAATAGATGTTGTTGTAGTGAATACAGGAATAACCTTTTTACATTATATTATTACAGATTTGCAAGAACACATCCTTTGAGAAGAACTATTGGGTGCAATGCACAAAATGTCCACAGTGGTATCATTGTGAGTGTGTCCATATTTCAATCAAAGATGCAGATATCAGTGATACTTTCATGTCAATGATACAATCCTATCAATTTTAAAAAACGGCTATTTTCATAGCCACAAATTGTTTTAAAAACATTAAATGACATGAAAAATAAATAAATTAAACATAACTAGTTCAAATTCTATTCTAATTACTGGAAAAATTGTGAGGGCGCAAATTCACCAATTGAATTAAAAAAATATGTTAGTTATTTATGTTTTTTTCAACGCCATTTTAAGTCTTTGCGCCCAGGGCAATTTTCATTTTTGCCCCCCGACCCCCTCCTTGTTACTCCACTAAAATAAACAGACGCGGCGTAGTGCTAACACGCTTGCCTAAGAAGAAAGAATTCTGCGTTTCAAAGCGACCTCTGGGGAAGTTTTGTGACAGTGGTTGGGATAACTTCCTGTAAAATGCTCCTCCGCGATGCTCTGTAATAAGACTCTAAGGACTTCTTGAGGCACCTAAAATAAAAAACATAGGCAGGCCCTTTCAGAGGTTTAGAGAGGCCTGGGCCAGTTATAAATTGGAGGCCCCAAGATGACATTTTGCGTAAAATGCAACACAAGTTGATGCAAAGCCAATTTAAGTCTTCAGATAAATTGGGACCATATAAGTCTGTAACTATTACAATAAAAACAGAATGTCAACTAAAGCAATTAAAGACAGACTGTAACTCATATACGAGGCCCTTTTTGTTTATTTTAGCAAGCCAACAAGCCGAGAAATTTGCTTGTCTACTAATAACACATTTCTTATGGAGGCCTGGGACGTTACTTTTCTTAGTGTAATTAGAAATTTCGAATTATTATTTTGATGTTTAAAAAATATATTTTGAAAATGTGAGGCCCCAACATAATCGAAGGCCTAGGCCATATGACCCATGTGGCTACCCTCTCGTAGGGCCTGCACATAGTTAGATTAATCTACATTGCAATGCATGTAGTTGTTGTTATTATTATAAGTGTAGTCATAAATATTTGCATACAATGAGTAGTAGGTAAAAATTCAGCGACCCCTCTAAAAACAACAAGTTTTATAAAAATTTGCTCTAAATTTTTAATCCAACCAGGAGCCTAGTCCTCTTTAAAAAAAGGTCTAGTGGACTTTTAAGTTCAAGTAGTTTGTTCTGACGCCTTATTTTATAAAGGTGACCATGGGGCAAAGATTTTTGTAGATACATATTATCAACTATATCAAAACAATGTATTAGATTATAAATTTGGATTGGATCGCATCGTAAGTGCCAAGACTCAAGACATGTGATGGTAAATTTAACTTTTCAATTTTACCCAGTATAAAGTTGTCTCACGCTGGAAGCTCATTTTGCGTTAAACAGATTCAACAAAGGCTATATTAGTTTTTAAATAAGAAGCCCAAACAGACACTGCATATTCAAGGTGCAGTTTTACAAACAACTTTATTTAACTAGCCATATTTCCATCAATGAAAATGAATGCCTTCTTTAACATACCAAAATTTTTAAGAAATTTGTGAATGAATATGTGTGCTCCACGTGTGGTTAGATGTAAAAACAAATCCTAAATCACGCTCTTTAGTATAGCTTCTTCAGCATTCATTCATACCTTAGTTATTTTTTAAAAGTAACAGCTTTGATCATAGTGAATAAAAAAGCATTTTAAAATCTTTAACTTAAGCAACCAAGTGTTTTCATTTACAAAGCGTAGACAATCCAGCAGGTCTGCAGCGAAATTAGTGTGCGATAAAATTTTAGAAAAAAGTTTAGTATCTTTTTTATCCGTAAAAATTTACATACTATGTAATGAATAAAGCAAGCATCGATTATTTTTAAATAGCCTGTTTACTAAGCCACCTAATTTCTTTCAGTTTTTTTGTGTTAAATATTGGGGAGAGTGGCCCCCTAAAGTAGGCCCCCTTTTAAAAATGATATAATCAACTAGCTGCGCACAAAAAAAACTACAAATGATATGTTATTCAGGATATTTAATCTATGCTCTACAATTTTTTATCTAAAAATTAAAGATGCATACAACAAATAAACAAAAACGTTTTCCTAACCAAAAAATAATCTCTTTCAAAAAGTAAAATAAAAAACTAAACAAATAATTCAAAAATATGATTATATAAAAAAATAGAGAAAAAAAGTTTTTTGTATTTTTTTTTAATATAAAAAAATCTCCTAAGTATAAATACTTTACAATATAAAGTATAATAAATACTTAAAAATAGAAGTTATTTGTAATATGGAGATTTTGTAAATTAAAAAATATATTTTGAAATAAATTACGCATGTTTGTTTACGAAAAATAACTCATGTAAAATTATCACATATTTATACGTAATGCAGGATGCGGATACGGGTTTTTTATAATTCAATAGGAGTATTTCTCCCCTACACTCGATTCCGAAAAAATTAGTATCATTGATTCTTATTTTTTATAATTATTACTATATTTTTGAAACATATTTTCTATAATTTGATTTATTGTCTATTATATTAATAGTATTGTAATGCTGGTACAGTCATTCTGGGTAACTTTGAATTTGCGTGTAACATTGAATAAAACGTGTAAATGTTTTTTAATTTTTTTTTTCTTTGGTATTTTCTCTGCCTGTTGCTTTAACAAAGGATAATATGATAAATTATCCTTTTTTACAAAAGTTTGACCGTAGATAATTGAATTTTGTTTCTTAAAAATATTTTTTCCCTCGATTTCCAGTTACACAGTCAAATGTTATCAATTTAGAATATCATCAGAATAGATTTTTTAGTATTTTATTGAATTATTTTTCTAATTTTAATAAAAACTCAAAATAATAGGAAATAACATGTTTTTTGCTACTAAAAGGATATTTATTTTTACCTAGCTAAAATATAACCCAAATATGGGTAACTTTGAATAATCAATGTTTCCTAAAAGTGCTTTTTTTGCTGTCTGAATAAAATTGCAATAATACATAATAGACGTATATATATATATATATATATATATATATATATATATATATATAATATGTTCAAGAAACTTTTTGCGTAACTTTTTTTATATTGAAATGAACTAATAAATCTAATAGTATTCTACGGCCTAACAATAAAAAAGTAATACATATTTAAAAAAAGCTTTTTTAAGGTATAAAAATAGCAAAGTATTTATTTGTATCATATATGATACATCATGCATTAATGAAACTTTATGAAGAAATGATAAACTAATGTTTGTTATTTGAAATAGGTTAAGAGTTATACACACTCTATAAGGATATCATTATAAATAAAAATTTCATCAATAGAACGCATTAAACACAGTTGCGATCCTTATTGAAACACAGTGCAGTGTCACACTTCTCACAAAATGATGTCAAGGCAGTGCACTTGTCATATATTTGCAACGAGCCCGCTTTTATTAAAATTGGGCCAATGTCCAACTTAATCAGATCAATTTGCATAATGGGGAATAGCAATTTTTGGACTGACACGTTGTGTGACGTCAACAACTGATAGGCGACCCGTTTTCCGTTTATGTGACACGTGGTAGATAGAGCTAGCGACAGTTTTGAATCTGACAAGTGAAGTTGACGGAATACGCTTCCGCCACAGAATCCAGGCATTTATAATAGACATATTAATATGTCTGTATATGTTCTATGAAACAATTTGTAATGAGCATATAGGCTGACTCATATATATATAATATATCTATATTTCATATAAGCTGCATCTTACTAGAAGGCTTTCTTCCATAGAAAGATGTTAGATTAATTGCTAAAAATGAGAAGAAATAATAAAAAAGTTTTATAACAAAAGAAATAAAATTAAGCAAGGGTATAAAATTTTAAAATTTTTTTTAAGAAATAAAATTAAGCAAGGGTATAAATTTTTTAAATTTTTTTCTTCTTAGATCTCGGTGTAGTTAAGGCGATTTACAAAATATTCAAATACTTTTATTTGGAATTAGCATGGTTTTATATTATGTCCAAACAAGATCTTTAAATGTTATAATTTTTTTTACTTAAGGTTTTTTTAATATTTCAAGAAATTTTTCTTTTTTATATATAAATTTCAAAACCTTTTTACTACCCGTAATAGTGAATCTAAAGAACACTCCCAGTAAGAAAAAGACGTCGAGCCGTTGTTGTAAATTGGTTGGATTTTGGTCGCGACGCCAGTTAACTAAATTCCAACGATATTCCAACGTCGGCATAACGGTGTTATTCTAACGTTTGTCTATCAAACGTTGGAACGACATTGTAAAAACGTTATCATCTAACATCTTGAATGTTAACATTAAAACGACGTTGGAACAACTTCGGTTGCAGGGTT